GTCTACGCCCCAGATGTCCTGTATACCCCCGCCGCCCTCTATGTCTCCGCCGCCCTCTACGCCCCCGCCGCCTTTACCATCAACACGCGTCTCCCATAATCCCCACCGACTCTCACGTTGCCACCGTTCCGGCCACTCTCACAGCTCTGCCGCCCACAAAACTGTGCCCGTCCCCGGCGCCCGTTTCCCCCGCTATTGCCTCGCCACCGTTGCCACCCGCGCCGCCGTGAATTCATGGCGACCGGCCCCTCCACCGGAAAGCGAGTAATCTCCAAGACTTCGACCTCGCGCCCTCGCGACTTCTGACTCCAGGTGATCTCTCCAAAGAGGATCTTTAGATGAAGAGTAAACTTGATGTGACAGTTCCGGAAAGCTGGAGACGACAGGGCGGTGAATTTAAGGTTTCATATTCCCCGGAGAGAGTATTGGCGACATTGAAACGACACTTTTTGAGAGGAGTCGTCTGCGATGAACGATTATCTTGATCAGTACTGACGGAGTAAGATCGATGGAGAAAAGAGGAGGGGAGACATTAATTACTAAAATAAAGAGTCATGCATTTTATTGCCATATTCGTTTGAAATAGTGTCAATAGCTAAATAAGTGTAGTATTTCCAACATTATCCATCTGCAGAGAGTAAGACAATCTAAGAATGTAGTATGTGAGGATGAAGAGTGCAGGTCACTGAAATATTGTCAAATGACCCTAACAAAAACCAAGAAATGGAAAAAAGATAAAATTCATGCAAGTAAACAAAAGAAAATTAGTATTTTGTCATTTTAAAACCTGTCCCGGTTGTCTGACAAGTTTTCGAAGAAGTCGACGGCGGACCGCGGTACCAGCATCATCGTATGTTCCGTTCGCGTGTGCTTTCGACAATATTTCTAATACCTTATTCGGTGTACATATAAACAAAACTGTGATATAGTTTATTCTTCAAGTGTATTCTGTGTGCGGCTGCTACTCAAAAGAGTGGAAACTAGCGTCAATATGGATACAATGAACAACAAGGAAAATATAACCTCGAACGCCCAACAACAACAACATGGATCAAACGTGAAATCTTATGCTGGAGCTGCGACAATGGACATTTTCCCGTCAAAGGACCAAGCAATTATGATAGAAGCCCACAAAGGACTTGAATTAAAAGATTATGTGAGTAAAATATCAACTTTTATCAATCAAAGTGATATCAGATTTGTGTCGCGCATTGCGAATAATAGGGTTGTGTGATCTTAAGTACTAAGAAAATCGCTAACTACCTAACAGATAACATCAAACTTTCACTATTAA